ATCAGTTTTTTGCCAGCAAAGACCAAAAATTTTATGAGCGTGGAATTATGCTACTACCAGAAAGATGGCAAAAGGTGTTGGACCAGAACGGTCAATATATAATTTAATAAAGTATTTGTTTATTATACGAAAACTGTCTTTCATTTCCACAAAAAAAACGAAATGACTTTCCGAACAACCCTATAGCTTTAGAAGGTGACTGGTGCATTTGCAAAGGAATTTACACCAACCCTAATAGCTATATGTTTTTATGATATACTGAAAAAGTATATGGTCTTTTGCAATTTCCATGGTTAATGTAATAACGGGGGATGGATTGTTTATGTAATAAAATAAGTTTGATAGTTATCTGTTTGTGCCTGTGTAACAAATTAAACATAATTACACAATTGTAGCAGTTTCTGAAAATCATGTCACTAATTTTGTCGTATAGGTTTCATGAAAATTCAGTTTAAACATTTGCTCAGTTATCACTAATGTATCAAATTTAGTACCTATATGAGTTGCTCACAATCAGCAGGCTAAATACTCTTTCACAATAATTTTTTTTTCAAATGTGATTATATGGATTATTATTAACAAGTTCAATAAATATGAAATAAAAAACGGTATCAGTGTGAGTACCAATTTTGATTACACTTTTGAGCTAAAAGAATTCACATTCCTTGTTTCACGGTATATCGATTTAAAATCATAAATCATCAAAATCGGTTAGTCAGATACCGAGATTGTTAATATTTTCAGCGTAATGTGATTTTAAACATTTAATTTCAGTTGCTGTTCGTAAACAATCAAGCTGGCACGAGCTTCAGATAAAAATTTGATAGCGATAAATCTCCGAAGCTATTGACCGAATACGTGGATGTTTCAGATCCGCCGTGCGCTCGGATAATAGTGTCGGGTAATTGTATCAAAAAGAAAAAAGAAAAAATCAGCAGCAGTAAAGATAATTTAATAATTATTACAAAAAAACTGTCTAATAAAATTGGTAATTAAGATTGATATATATATATATGAAACACTTTGACATTTAATGGTGGTTAATATCAAATATGAATGCGAAAATTCATTTTCGGGTTCGATTCCCAGCAAGGGTGTGACAACAGCAACAAATTTTCCTTCATTAACGTAGGTAGTTTATAGTGGGTAAAAAATTTAAAATAAACTTTCACATTGATTAAGATTTCATTGGGATATGTCGTTTGTCCTAATTTGTATTATTCCTTTATTACTAAACTAAGTATTTGTAATTTCGATAGTTTTTCTGTTTGCTTTTTCTCGTGAACAAGAATAGATTTGTATGGCCGAACTGCTACTTCTATGAAGGTGATTATATTGTTATTGATAGCACTAACATATACAAGGCGGGATTATGAGTATTAGTGAATATAGCACAATAAGAAGAATATAACGAAATATTAGAAAAGCATAATAATAAAGTTTAAAACGTGTAGTTTAAAAGTAAATGTAAAGGTTTATGAAATAGAGACAAGGATAAATTAGAAAAATAAGGCTATGGAACGAAATGAAAAATATCATAGAGAGAAGAACAGCTACGTGTGACAGGTGCAAAAGATTCAGTAAAAAGGAGGAGAGCGTTAAGAGTGAAGAGTATGGTCAGGGAGTAGAAAGAAAAAAGTATCAATACGGAAGGAAAAAAAATAATATTAGGGATAAAAAGAGGAAAAGAAACAGAGAGGAAAAAAGAGCGAAGATGGGATAGGAGGAAATAGCTTGATAGACATGGTGAATAATAATATTAAGAAAGACGAAATAGAGGGACAGAGAAGAGAAAAGAGAAGGCACGAAGAACTATTATATTAAATTGAAGAAATGAAGAATGAAAGTAAGGAATGGTTAACAAAAGAAAAAGAGAAAGTAAAAAAAATAATAGAGAAAGAAAATTAAATGTAATAATTATGGGGAAAGGGTTGGAAGGTGAAAAAAAGGAAAATTGAAGTGAAAGAATTAATAAGAACGGAGATGAATAAGAGGGTAAATTTTGCATAAGTGTGGATGATTAAAAATTGCAAAAGTGACGAATATAGAAGAAAAATTGAA